CAAATAAACTGCCATACCCTGTGCAGTTTACTTATATACTCAAATAAACTGCCATACCCTGTGCAGTTTACTTATATACTCAAATAAAAAATGTGAGTCCAGCTGAAGCTTGGACCAAACAGGACAACAACCACAAACACATTGTGGGTATAAGATGTAGAGGTGTGGCTTCAGCTTTGTGGTGTTGACACTGACTGTGCACAAAGTTGTTGTTGACTGGCATAGTAYTGGTTTTGTTTCTTGGGTGTAAACTTGGATTAATTATAACTGTAAGATCTTCTATTCATGGAACGACATCTGGATCGTCCAGGAAATGATCCATCGGATCAGTCATCAGAAGAGAACTCGTAAAAATGTAATTATCAGAATGCAAAGAAAAAAATACCCACTAAATTCAAATTACCACGATTATTGCCTCTATAACGCTGAGTCCTTGATGTGTCCCTGAGGACTACCCCACTCTCACCGAGCCATGAGCAGGAGCTTCAAAGTGCTGTTGGTTTTCACCATCACTACTCTGAGCTCACCACAACGTCTTAATGGACATGCTTGACTCTCACTCCTTCCTGTRAGCCTCACACATGTACTCTCATTCCTCCTGATTCTGATATCGACGAGGATTTCACAACATAAACATCATATTTTGTGTAACTATAAGCGTTTTGTTTTTCCAAAAATCATGACCTATTTTCTGGCTTGCAACACTGCATTATTTTCTTGAAACCACAATTATAACTTAATCTGCGGAAAAATAATTTTAGATTAGCACCAGCTTGGTTTCAAAATTGTCAAAACTGGAAATTTGAGGCCTTCACGTGCAAAATACAGCTTTGGCACTCGGAAATTTCAGATCCTAAGTACGTTTAGAAAGAGTTTTTATATGTCATACTAACCTGCAGATAATTCTTCTAAGGAGTCATGTTTCGCAGCAGATTCTGAAGGAAGGAAGCTGCTTCATAATACATTCTTACTCTGAAGTAACTTTGCTCCCATTAACATTCATCGGGCAGATTTGCCTTCATAAGCTGCGATGCTCAGCGTGGCTGATTATTCCAGTGACACTGAATATAATGAAGATCAAATGTCACGGGAAACGATTTGCACATCAGTGAGAGCAGATCTGAAGTTGCCCTGCCTGAAATACTGATGGAGAGAAGCTCGTGGCTGCATGCTTGTCTATACTTACCTGGAGAAAAAAAAACAGCTCTTATCCCCAGAGTTTTAAAAATGTGCAGCTTTTTTTTCTTTTCTATCTTTTTACAGMCCCATATTATCATTTCAGTTCACTCTCTCAGCCTTTCAAAGAGCAGCTTTATCATTGCAGCATAAACCCAGAGAGACACAACGGGGTACTATGTAAAAAAACATATTTTGAAGCAATTGAAGATGTTTTTCTGAGCAGATTTTAAAATTTTGTTAAAAAGTCAATAAAGTATCAAAGTTACAAAAACCAACCCGACTCCTGAATGAGCTAAATGTTTTGTAATATGAATAAATAAAGTATGCAGTTAGGCTGCAAAAAAACGTACAGAAAAATCAGCATTTACACAACATTCAGCTAAACCGGAGGTCTGCAGAGATAAAATCTACAAACTAAAAGTGAAACATCACTGATCCAAGAATTAATTTATTGACAGAATAATATTTTTCCGAGATTCTTAGTTTTTGTATAAATGGGTCAGATTATTAAGCCGGTTCAGGAAAAATGTGTTTATTGTAGTAATTTTTATTTTAAATGTTACTGTGATAAAGACAAACACAATATAATGATTTTTAAAAGTAATGAGA